CAAATTAGTGCAATGAAATGGTTTCACCTCTTTTTTCAGCAAATCCTCTAAAATTTACAGAACATTTTTTGAAGTCTCACTTTTTTCAGCACATTTTCATAACGCATATATCTGTTTTTGTAAATGAGCTCATACAGTATTTAGACAAACAAGCAAAATGTAGTCAGAAGTAGAGATTACATGGCGATGTGGGGGGAGTGCAAAAAGGCACGTGGCCAGAATACTTACATGTAAACACAATGTAAATGTAAACACTGAGTATTATTGTGAATCTTTCGATTCATTGATTTAGTTGATTCGATCCTGAAAGCAGCATTTTTTTTTTTTTTTATACATTTGATCAAAACAAAGTCCAATTGATTCATTGGAAAACACCTTGGGTTGTTTGATTAAAAATACTTTGTAAACATGTTTTGATTTTGCAGTCATTAAACCTCATCATAAAACCTCTAGCATGTTTAAGTCTATGTAATAAACAATTAATCGACAATCCAATTATTGGAATAGTTGTTGCTTAGTTGTGATTAATCACTTTATTTGTTACAGCCTTAAGTGAAACCAAATTAGTTATAAATGACGGTAGAATACAATATTCTGTACGTTATTGCTGACATCAGTTTGTTAGTTTTAGTGGAACATCCTCTGCTGCTTCTTTGTTCTCAGTTGACTTCATGTCACTCTGCATATGTTGAATAAAGCACAGTCAAATCAATGGCATATACTCAGGTGGTCATGCTCGTCCCATAGACGTCCTTTACATTAGCAGCGCTGATTCTGACCAATCACAGCTGACTGGACGACAGCGCTCGCACACGTTGCTCTCTTCCTCATGTACAGTGGGACATGTGAGCGTTCTGACCAATCAGAGCACCGCTGATCAGAGTGTGGCTTGAGCGGTACAAAAGCAAGGAAGTGTGGATTTATAAAAAAAACTATCGATTTCAAAAGAAAAAGAAAAACAAGATGACAAAGATCCCATCTGTGAAAGCTGCGGGTTCCCTGTCATTTGAGGAGCTGTTTTAGTTAACATTTGAAGTCTATGGGGAAAATCTCCTGTACAGCCCATGTGGATTTAAGCTGCTGTGCTGGCCCACCCATCCATTTAGAGACGGGTTTAAGCAGCAACACCCTATCCAGATAGTATAATACAACTATGAGTAGCTCTCAATCCCCCTGCGTTTTGAGCATGATGTCACTCCTGCAGTGAAAGTCAGAGAGTGTTTGCAAAGGTGTGTGCGGAAATAACGTCCATTTATTTTGAGAACGCATACAATGTGCTATTGTGACAGTTTCAGAATAATTTGATAAAATACTCGGTACTATCACTGTTTGCATTGAGCCCATTCCCATATGAATGTAGTGTTAAAAGTGTATAATGATGATGGGATTACTTGGGCAAATAGAATTAAACTTAAAAATATTGGAGAATTGGTCAGAAATTATTGCCATCAGATATTTTGTGAGGAGGGTTGAGCCCATCCCCAGCTGTGCACAGGAAGCGCTCAGCCAGTGCACACAATGGGAGGAAGGAGCGGCTGCCTGCCTCGCACACTTTACTTTCAGTGGAAGGAGAGTAAAGCTGAGCTCTCTCCATTCCACCTGTGTAGGAAGCAGGGGTCGACCGATAAGGTTTTTTTAAGGCCGATAACGTTACTGAAAATTGGTAGTCAAGGAGGTCAATAACTCATAGAGAGCTTATCTTTGTTTAAATGTCTGATGCATATATTTATTCAGCAAACAAAGAGACAAAAATAACTTGTGTGCAATATGATTTTATCTAAATGAAACTAATCAGACATGTTGTTTAGGCAGATCTATAGTCGGTAGGACTGTTATATCATGTTGTGTTGAACAGGAGACTAAATGATTGTGTTCGCTGAGTTGCAGTCATTGTTGTTGGGATCAGTATACTGAGCTGGACTAATAATTTGAAAAGCAATTTTTTTCCTGTCAATACACAGGGTTAACAAGTGAATTAATTAATCATAACATGATTAAATTCTATTCAGATTTATTTTACAATATGCTTTGTAGTTGAAGTAGTTATCATTGACGTGCTGTTAAACACCTCTTCTCCTGTTGCCTCTGTCGTGCTCTGTATGAAGCCGATCTAACACTCACAAGCAGCAGCAGATCCAGGAGCTCAAAAAGGTTCTCGAAAATCATGATTGAATCTTGAAGTCAGATTCAGTTTGTTAGCCATTTGCATTAAAATCACATTGGAATACAGTATGTGTGCATAAATCCACCAGACAGTGCATAATCTGTCATGATATGCACTTTGCAGCCCCTCCCATCTCTCTCACTGTCCAAAATAAATTAAATAAATTGCAGGTTCACAGAGTACCTGCCACCTACTCCCGGCTCGTCTTTAGTTTCAGCCTACGCTTTTTTTATCTGTGCTGTATATAGAGGCACAAATCTAGACTATATCAAGCGTTGTGTGCACGGCTTCCAACGGGGCTGCAAGAAATATCAAAAACACAGTTTGAAAATGACATTGTAAGACTGCATTTTTGTTGTTGGAAAACCACCAAATATCTTGTTGTATTTCCTTAATCCATGGATTATCCTACTTTTCACCAAAGTACTCTCAAAAATGCACGGAATCAACTCTGCATTATAAAGCAGTAATACGTGGAAGTGTTATTTTATACATACCATAATAATCAGCAATAAAAACAAGGATTAAAATGCATGTAAAAACCGATCAAAAAGGCAATACAGATACAGATCAGCATTTATACTAGTTTGGCCTTATTAAAATGGGAGTTTAAAAACGGATAAATGGTACCAATTAGGATCCGACTTAGGGCTGGGCGATATGGCAAAAAAAAAAAATCTCAGATTTTTTCACACCAAATCCGATTTTCGATTTTAATCGATTTATTTTTTTCTATTTAAAAACAAACTACAACTGACAAAGAAATAGATTTTCCTTTATGCAGTTTAATCTAAATCCCCATGGAGCATAAGTGTAACAGGAATTAAGCCTTAAAACATGCTTGTAAACAAGATGGCTCTGCCATTGTAAACAGTGAAAATGTAGCTTAACAGTTTTATAATAACTTCACTTACAATGACACTATGCACCTTCAAAATAACTTAAATCACACAAACAAGGCCCATCGCAAATATATCAATCCTATTAAACACATGCATTATTTACATGAAATATCACATTTTTAAAACTGATTACTCAAAATAGAAATGTTGTAACAGACAGTCTTTTCCAAAAGCCTCCTCGGGTTTTCATGCTTGTTCTTTCAACTGTGCCTGAGTAACTGTGCTGTAGTACAACGCTCGGTCCAGCTGGTGGCGCTAATACTAACTTCAGTGACTCCCGCATTGTGCGAGCTTCCTGTTTACATTCTGATGCTGTAGCTAACAGCTACTGTAGCAGCTACTGTAGCTAACAGCTACTGTAGCAGCTACTGTAGCTAACAGCTACTGTAGCAGCTACTGTAGCAGCTACTGTAGCAGCTACTGTAGCTAACAGCTACTGTAGCAGCTACTGTAGCTAACAGACAGCGGGGAACACGTTGTTTGTATCAGAGCAATGAGAGCAATGTGTGAGACGTGTCTTTCCCCAAAGTGCAGCGGCTCAGTGGGACACGAGTGTGTGCGCGCCACGGACACGGGAGTGCGCTTTGGAATAACGAGCGTGAGAGAGCGTGAAAGATGTGGCGTACGAACATGGCGTACGAACATAGCGACCGGAGCCTGCGTGCGTGTGTGTGTGTGTTCTGGCGATTAAATAAAGTCTGACTCTTGAACGTTTGAAGTGTTATTGCAACAGCACCAACTGTGAGAGCGAGCATCAGGCCAGAGGGAGACTGTTAGCATTAGGTTAGCTTCAAAATGACTGCTCAACACCATAGACCCGCGGTTAGCGCGTTAGCGCTGTAGTTCTGCGCTGGAGAAAATAAAAATCGAATTTTTAAAAAAAGAAATCGCCCTAAACGTAAAACTCGAATTAATGATTAAAATCGATTAATCGCCCAGCCCTAATCCGACTGTTCCAGATGTTTGCTGAACCTGGAATGCTAAAATAAGGGATGTTAAAGTTCTGACTCTTGGCACCAGCAGGTCAGTCTCTGTGCAAGCTGGTGCAGAGACCTGAGACCAGGACTAATGTGATCATACTTCCTGGCTCTAGTCAGGAAGTAAATTAAACTGACTTTTACAATGAGACACAGCATAACTATTGGTGGAACTGAAGCTGGCTGGATGACAATGTGGATGTACCCCAATGGCTAACTTTGCGTTAGCAAGGAAGAATATACACCCCTGCTTCAAACAATTTAAACATGAATCAAATTGCTTTTTGTTGTCATGATAACTACAACTAAATAGACAGAGGCAGTCTGTCTATTGGCATTTGACGTGTGGGTCAAATGCAAAAGACAAATTTCCCTCTGAGGACAATTAAGTATGGAAGAGAGCAGACAAAAGCAGAGTCATAATTTCCATAGCTGTGAATACCTTTTGAATATCTCAGCCCCCGTCAGGGCCGCTGAGATAATACTTGCCTCGTTTGTGACTGGTGAAAAATGCTCTAACATCTGCACACTTTATGAGGAATGTGCAAATGCTAATATTTGTATGATTTGAATTTAGTAAGAAAGAAAATATGATAAAGTATTGTCAGATTCAGATCAGAGGTTTATTGAAGAAAAAAGATCGGTAACTACCACAAAATTCTGAATACAATCTAAGTGAAAGTTTTTTAGATTTATTTTCTGTTGGAAACGAACCGGAGCTTTTTGACAGAAGAGGCAGAGTTACTTGTTAGTGCCAGAAGTTTGTGATATTGGAGTAGATAGATCTAAAAACAACTCCAGGTCTGTGACTGATGAGGTATAATGTTGTATCATGTTTTAAAGCTAAAATATAAGATTTAGCATTTCTCTAGTATTACTCTAAATAATTATGGGACCAACTAAAATAGTCTTTTATGTTTGACACCCCTGCCCTAATACGTATCTTTGTGTGTCCAGTGCTGCCCCCGGTGTTGGTGCCGCGTAACAGCGAGTTCAACGCCAAGCACACCATGCTGCCCCGCTTCCGCAACCCTCTTCAGCAAAACGAGCCGCACATGCCGCAGAACGCCACTTTCCCAGAATCCTTTGCTCAGACCAACCCGCTGCCGTTTCCCCAGTCGCCCGGCAACAGCTTCCCAAACTCACCGGGGAGCGGCAGCAGCAGCAACACCTTCCCTCACTCACCGTCCAGCTCAGACCCGGGAAGCCCATTCCAGATGCCAGGTCAGACTGTCCATACCAATTTTAAAATTTAATTTTTTGTTCTTTGTTTATTTATTATAATGAATATGTGACATTATAATATTATAGTAGTATATAGTATATTACTTTTATTTCCTGATTAATATGCATGTATGTATGTATGTTATGTTTTTATTTATTTGTTTGAATCTGGGTCGAATGATGAAATGAATGTGCCTGCAAACAGCTTTGTCATAAATATACTGTTATTAGCCCAAACTCTGAACCTCACCTATTGTCCCATGGTCATTTAATGTAATTATTTTGTTGAAAGCATTTTAACATGATAGAGGTTTGATATCAGGGCTACAATAATTAGTAACGACAAATGAATAGTTGTCACTGGTTTAACGCATCATAAAATAAAACATGAATATGATATTGTTTGGTGGCACAGTATTTTTTTATTTATTTTACAACAAGATCCAGGTTTCCCAATTACATAGACCATAATTATATTATAAAAAATGCTTATAATGCATACATTTACTTCAGATACAAAATAGTAAGACTTTTACGGTGTTTTAGTGTCGTCTGCGGTGCCCATTAATCAAATAAGTAACGGTCGTCTTATTTTACGACTAAAACAACAATATGACCCCCGCTTAAAGGTCAAACCCTTTGATCTTGTCACGTAACGACAAACCTTTTGCCTTTTATGCTATGTGTCCTGCATTTAAAACTACTTCTATTGTTTGACTGTATATTGTCCTTTCTGGTGTTCCTTTGACCCACAGAGACCCCCCCTCCTGCCTACATGCCCCCTGAGGAGCAGATGACTCAGGATTGCCCCCAGCCCATGGACACAACCCTCCTGGTCCCTGCTTTGCCTCTGGAGACGAGCAACCGCACTACAGGTAACCACACCAGTCTTTTCTTTAAATGTGATTATTTTGTATTAATATCCGGTTTTTAGGGGTATATAGAGCTAAAGAGTTACTATTTTGGAATATATCAAGTTTAAGGGTCATAAGGCTCATTCCCAATGCACTAAATCACCGGAATTTCTTCCAAAAATCCCAGGGTTCCCTTTCCTTCCACAGTGAGAGATACATGCGGGTGTGGTGAAACTTTGAAGTTGCTTGGTATAGGTCAGGTGAAGGTTTATAAAAGTACACACAAGGGACAATAATCACAAAAAGTTGTAAAACAAGAGTGAAGCTTGAAGCATGAAATGTCACTGCCCTTACCTTTTACAAAGATGTTCTTGTGAAAATGTATATCTTGGAAAGGTTTGGGCCTGTGTGTTGTTTTATACCTCATGCTATTGTATTGGGTGAAAGTTCTGCTGTATTTGTGTTGTTCTTTTTTATGTTTCAATGGCGGAGATAGACGAGACTGTCCAATAATATTTAGCCAATTGTTTTTAACAATTTGCCTGATGAAGGTCTCAGGAACATTAACGTAACATTTTCCAATAAAAATCTTTTTTTCCGGGACAGTGTGTGTTAACTATTATTTTTTCCATGTGAAGCGGGACTCTTTCCTCCTCTCCTACGCACCTGTTCCAGAAGTAAAGCGTGAAGTTCTACTTCTTAAAAACATACAGTTTAAAATGAGCAGTGAAATGTAGGGTCACAGTGAATAGGCCAGTCTGAATAGGTGTGTTTCAAGTTGGGTTTGGGAGTGTGTCAGTGTCGTTGATCATGTAAATCATGTCTGAATCAACTCCACACAAACAACACGGCAAAACAATACCACAAATATTTAATCTGAAAGCTTCATCATGAGATCATGGCAATAACATTTGCTCGACTTGAACTGCAGGTGCAAGGATGTCTGGGAGGGCTGCTTGGTTTTTTGTTAAGACTTCATTTCCCCTTGTGGTTCTGGAGTCCAATTATAACAAAAAAAAAGAAGGAAGAAAAGGCTTTATAACGACTGCCGGTGAGATCCTCCCCAGATTTAAAGCTGCCATCTGTGGATGTAAACCCAGGGGAAACTCTGCAAACCTCAGCCCTTTTTATGAGTGCTATAAATGTTGAAGCTTATGTCATCTCTGCTGGTGGTGATGGCTTAAATCTCGTTAAGAATAAGATGTACTAATTTGACCCTAAAACTGTGGATCTGTTCTAAGGCTGTAATTGCAGCTTTCCGTGATTATGTGGCCTTTATTTAACACGCTAGAAAAGAATTATCGCGGGGGTGCCTAACTTTCAAACCACAGAAAGCTGACGTAATAAAATCCATGTATCTTCAATTTAATTTCCATAAATTTTAATTCTAAATCACAACAATAGTAATCTCGGAGGACTTTACAGAGTTGACGATTCGCCAACAAAGATCAGAGAATCAAACAATTCAATCCCAGAAAATGCAATGCACATAACTTCTCGCAATCAAAACAGTTCTATCACTAGTCTTCACATGTATGTATTTTGGCCTCTGTCACATCATGATGTATAAAGATTTCCACTAGGGCTGGGCCATATGGCAAAAAAGTAAAATCTCAATTTTATTTTCTGCTTTAGACGATTTCGATTTTAAATCAATTTTCAGTTTGCCCTTAAAAATATTTTTTGATCTTTCCGCTCAATAATCAAGTTTCAAAACCATTTTTATTTTGTTTCCCCAAATACGTATTGTAAAAGTCTTGCACAGACTGTGCTGATATTGAAAGTATAATTCATGTGCTGCTGGAACTCTCAGAATATCCTTCATTCAATTCCACGATTTTCACATTTTTCACAAATTCGATTTTTTCAAAAGCCGATTAATTGCCTAAATTCGATTTATTGCCCAGCTCAATTTCCACTAAGAAAACCAATTTCATTCAGACCAGCTATTACTTTTTAAATTTGGCTCCCGACCAAAATGATTTTGACACCCCTTCTTATACAGTATACCGCACTTTTAGTTAAGCCTTCCCACTCGCCGCTGTAGTGACAGTGCTGACGGGAAGATCTGCTGAGTGCTGTGTGGAAGTGGGAGTTTGGGGAGTTCTTTAGCACAAGCTGCATCCTGTTAGTGTGCACTCGGCTGCTATTGTGGAGCAGCTCTGGGAAGGTGACAGACAAAACACACCTGCTGACCAGTGCCATGTTACAGAGGAAGTTTAGGAGAAGTATGCGCGGGACAAAAGTCAGTGGGTGAGACCAGCTGGCCGACAATGTCCAGAGAGTGTGGCATGCAGCGCACAGGGCACACTATTCCATTATTCTGTTAATCACTGAGACAAAACTTTTAAGTAAGAGCGCCAATTGTGGCCAAAATTGCTAAAGTTAGACATTTCATTTTATTTAAGTACAGAGTTATTGTTCATTTATCTTGTGTTGTGTGTTCCTCATTCCCACTGTTCTATAACTGGGGATGCAACACTGAAGTTTCCCCTCTGTGGGACAAATTATGGATCTCTTAATCTGAATCTCATATTGATTCACATTTGAAGATTAGGAAGACGAATAGGTGTCATTAGAAGCAAATTTGAAAGGCATACAATTTTTGTCCGTAATAAGATTTTTTTTTTAACCAGGGGTAAGATTAGCCTGGTCGTACCACACCATAGTACAAATGACATTTCGTACTAAGGTCTGGAGGTGCTTCATTCAGCTCCGTTAACAGGTGGGAGGGGTTAACTCCTTTTGCAGAATTTAGTTTACCGTGACGTATGTAGTGCGCCCAAGTGAGTCTTTAGCATTTAGCCTAGCCATCTCCTTTGCCTCTAACAAAGCCCGTGGAGAGTAGCGCCACAATTTTTTCCAGCGATTACATTTGCTAAACATTCCTCTTGCTCCGGCTTCAATTTCTTGATAGAACCAGACCGTATTACTTTACTATCGCATTTTTCGCCATTGCCAAACTGTAACCTGCCCGTTCAACGCAAACTCTTGACATCACCCATAACTGACTACAACACTCGCCTTCCGCGCTCTCTGATTGGTCGGTCGAAATTCAAGCGATTGTAATCGCTAACACAGTGACTAGACCCAGACGTTACATGCAGTGAAATGATGATTGAGCGGAGTGTACGGATGGCTAAGGCCAGGCTAGGGGTAAGATGGGAACGTGACAAAATAAAAGGGTCAAAACCAACTCCTGAGTTTCAAAATGTGTTTACTAAAGTAGCAGCACAGCACACCAAGAGCTGTATATATTTTTACAAAGACAACTTTATGTAGTAAAGAGCAGCGGTTGCAAAATCTCTGAAGGTGAAGCTTCACTGTTGTTACACGGCTTGTTAAGCTTAAAGTATTATCCCTTGTGTTGTGTGTCTTGTGTGTAGTTTTATCCTTTTCTTCTCCCAAACCACATGTAAGCAACAGGCTATACACGCCACCTGCATGTGAAAGCCTGATGTCGTCATGCCTCAGCTCATGTAAAGCGCTCGATAATTGATAATAATGCATTATTTCTATTATTATGGTTTTAGATGTATTTCTGTCTAAATTACTGATGAATTTCTCAGAACTAGGTCCCAATGCAGTTTAATTGCAGAGTCAGTTTGACACGCAAGCCTGTGTTGCTCAGTATAATATTATGGTATTTGGACATGAGTTTGGATATGCTTTGTTACTGTTTGGATTGAACCAAAACTGGACTTAATGTAAGGAGATGTACAATGCTTACTGGACTATAATCCCCTAGTTAAGTTATTTCAACTCTGTGTTCTATATAGTGATTCAGCCAATTTTTATTTTGTTAGAGCGTCCCTCTGGCACAGCTTTATTAGATGTTGATCTCCAGACCTGGTGACGTAGCACACATTGCTTCGTCTTATGTGAACAGCCCAGATAGAGACACAGGGAAGTGCGAGAAATATTACACAGCCCATGTTTGTACAGTGTGTGAGTCGTACAGTGTCAGAGCATTTCCTTGTCTTATTATTGTTGACTGCATCAAGTTTTAACAGGAATGGGACACATGTACATTCTCAAAATGGATTGAATTGAGTGCTTTGATCATGAGTCAACAGTGCGTTAAAACATCTCATCAATAAATGATATTGTGTCTAGTTAAAACTGTTTCCTTTTTTGCTCCATCAGCTGTTGGCTGAAAGTGTTACATTACAACACAAAAACCTGCGGCTTACATTCAAGTGCGACCTGTATGTTGAAGAAAATTACTTTATCCAAAAATGTTGCTGCTGCGACTTACACACAGCTGCCCCTCATAGTTAAATATAGAAAACACATCTTCAATTCGTCGCATGGCGCCGTAAAGATGGCACCGTGGCAAGAGCTCTGGTGTGTGTCGTCTGGTGCACACTGGGGTAGTCTTGCACAGTTTTTCCAATGTGGTTTTACTGCAAATGGTAAATAAATGAATCTGAATCTGAATTACAGCACTTTCTGAACTAATAATTACATGTTGGGTTAAAATGTTTATATTAACTTTCAAATGATGTATAACATGCCATTGTAGCCCATTATCGTCCATTCTCCAAGTTCCATCCATCCATTTTCTACCCCTAATCCATTTCTGGGTCGGGGGTGGCAATCAGATATACCACCCAAGTCACATAGCACCAGCCCCCAAGTTATTAAAAATAATTGAAAATAATCTCAGGGGCCAGTTAAAATGGACTGGTTGATCTAGCCCACCGGCCTGAGTTTGACTTGTCTAAGTTTCCTTTTCAGAACTATTCAGAACTGCTGCAGGTGGATATAATAAAACTGCAGGAGAATGTATGACATTAGATGTTCCATGAGCCTGCATTTATTCATAAACGCGCTATATATGGCTTCATTATGTTTATTCAAACCCCTGTTACTGGCAACGGGGGATACTCTGGGAACACGTACGCACGGGTATGTCAGATTTATTGCCCCGAAGCTCTGGGTTTGGTGCGTTTAATGCGCCCGTGTCCGCGCGCACTGACCTGTTCCGTGTGCTTCCTGTGCAGATGTGCAGCCCGTGGCCTACGAAGAGCCCAAGCACTGGTGTTCCATAGTCTACTACGAGCTCAACAACCGAGTGGGCGAGGCGTTCCAGGCGTCCTCCACCAGCGTGCTCGTCGACGGCTTCACGGACCCCTCCAATAACCGCAACCGATTCTGCCTGGGCCTCCTGTCCAACGTCAACCGCAACTCCACCATCGAGAACACCCGCAGGCACATCGGGAAAGGTGCGGCGGTCAGAAGCCGATGGCAGACCAGACTGAATCAATCTGTGTTGTCTGTAGATGCTGGGGTTGAGAAGCGAGCGGGGGAGAGCAGAGAAAACAACATTCAGGGCTGATAGAGAATGTATTGATTTGAGGTTGACCTTGTTTTGACGCTGACTTCCGTTTTCTAAAAGGGCATTTACAGTCGTGCTTGAAAGTTTACACACCCAGGCAGAGATAACCTCATTTTTGCTATCTTTCAGTGATTAAGAATGATGAAACAAATACTTCTTTCCCAAGCCATTTATAGGTTAAGCTGGGATAATTAGAATATTGGTAATCTATTTCTGTAATTCAACTGAGAATGTGAAGCCAATATATGATATAGACTTATTACATGCAAAGTGATATATGCCAAGCCTTTCTTTGTCATAATGTTGATGGTGATGGCTTACAGTAAATTTCCAAAATATTCTGTTTTTTGATTTTTACAAACTGTGAGCCAATTATTAACATTATTACAAATAAAAGCTTGATATAGCTCACTTTGCACGCTTCACGTTGCAAGTTGAATTTCATAAGTAAATGGACCTTTTCGAAGGATATTCTCATTCCCAGAGTTTTACCTGTTGGTTACCATTTATTGAACCTACCCCTAGTCTACCTCTTTTCAAAAATGAAAATATCAGTTGAAGTAGACCCATCAACATTTATTAGTGTATCGCAACAAGGCAACTCAAAGTGTTTTAATAACTAGAGCTATTGAAACACAGAACAAAATGCATTTAAAAGATACAAAATCAAGTGCATCAATATACTTAGTTAATTTCCTATTAAAACAGTAGTTGGCCTAAAACTCTTTCTAAAAGGAAGGTGTAAAAACAGATAAATAGTTCAAAATCGATGTTTTCAACCTAGTTTAGAACATGGTCAGGTTAGAGGCCTGACTCACAACCTCACAACTTTTTAGCACACATTCCGGTACATACAAATAATAGACCAATAATATTACAGTATATATTATGATAAATATGTCATTCCAAACTCATCCTCCTCCCCATGCTTCTCCCCAGGCGTGCATCTATACTATGTGGGAGGGGAGGTGTACGCAGAGTGCCTGAGTGACAGCAGTATCTTCGTCCAGAGCCGTAACTGTAACTACCACCACGGCTTCCACCCCACCACCGTGTGCAAGATCCCCAGCCGCTGCAGCCTCAAGATCTTCAACAACCAGGAGTTCGCCGAGCTGCTCGCCCAGTCCGTCAACCACGGCTTTGAGGCGGTGTACGAGCTCACCAAGATGTGCACAATTCGCATGAGCTTTGTAAAGGCAAGTCCACATCAAAGCCATATGTTTTTGATGAGCCCCGAATCACAGCAGCACGGATCTCTCGACGATTATAAAAACACAGGAAATAGAATATTTGCTTCAAAGAATGCAGTATTATGCATTCTTAGTGGAATAATAAAGTCATAACGATTACTAGGAGCTACATGTGTACAGATAGTAGGAACAGACTACTGATGCAATCCACCTGATGGGGTTTAGCCAGTTTTGCTTTTACTTGTGTATTTGTTAAATATATTTTAAAGTAAAAAAGATTTTCCAAAACTGGCTACATTTCTTCTAACATAGCGGCAACCCAAATAAGAGTCTCATTCAAAACTGTTGTTCAGTGTTCATGTGAAAGATGTAGATGTTATTTTAAATGAAAAGACCATTCTGTCAATTATAGGGGTGTGCTATAAAACAACCAAACACATCAATATTTATATCAATAATGGATTAGTTGTGATCGATCAATGAACTTGTTCCAGTACTAATGAACTCTTTGTTGCAGGGCTGGGGAGCAGAATACCACCGCCAGGACGTGACCAGCACCCCCTGCTGGATTGAGATCCACCTCCACGGTCCTCTGCAGTGGCTGGATAAGGTTCTAACGCAGATGGGATCCCCTCACAACCCCATCTCCTCCGTCTCCTAGGCTTCGCTGTCCTTCGCCCCTGTGGCTGTCCATATCCCAGCATTTTGTTTAAAGTAGCAAGAACGCAGAGCAGCTGGTCCCAGGTTGGACTGTGCTTCAGCCAGTGGTTTGGAGATGTTTGGGATGAACCTCATGCTGATCTGGGACCTGTGAGGGTTGTCCCAACACCGTGTTCTATGTTTGGGATTGGTTCTGTACTTGAAGGATGTCTGAATTGGGCACATTACAGTCTGGGAGAGGAATAAGCAACACGAGCGTGATGCAACTGGAAGATACTTGATCAATGTGACCAACTGTAATAATTAGACCACGACACTCATTAGATTATGAATAGTCTCCAAAACATCCCCAGTCTCGCTCTATTATTCTCACGTGTTACGTCTGCATAGTTCCTTTAAAGGAGACATTTTATGCAAAATCAACTTTTTATTTTTAACCATGTTACAACATTGTTCCCTTATCAGTCACAGACCTGGAGTTTTTAAATCCATCCAATACTATCAGGAACTTCTGCCACAAACATGTATTTCATTCTCAAGTTAAAACATGGCATGAGTTAGGGTTATTAAATTGTTTCTTTATATTTTTTACGGTAAAAAAAAAAGCATAATATTTCTTCTTTAAACCTAGTGATGCATTCGTTTGTTGAAGGATTACAGGACATTCCAGGTCACTGAGATAACATTTGGATTCAACTATGCTGACAAGAAATATGCTACATGAAGTAAGCAGCGGCCGGGAGCACGATCTCTCCAAAAAGAACTTTTCCATCAGTCAAAACGAAATTCCGTTCCATTAATCAAAAAAAGGGGAAGACTTTGGGAGGGTTTTTAAATGGGGCATGGCACTAAAGGGCATTTCACTATTCATCAAAAATAATGTATTAAATGTTGCTCATGTTATGTTACTCTCATGTTCAGAAGACTTTTAACAAAAGAATAGTGTTGCCTAGATACATTCACAATTAGATTATGTGCTGTATGTCCTGGTTTTGCAAGGAGGTTTGTTTAGTGTAGTGTTATAAATTGAAACTGCTGAACACGCAGCTGAGACCTGCAGTTCAGTTTAGTCCTTAATGTGCACAGGTCTCACATTTAGGACAAAAATATATCAGATTGTGTTGTTCCTTTATGACACTGACTGGGCAAAATTATTAAGGAAAACATGTTGTGTTATGTATTGAGAGTTACTGATGTTCAGATGTGATTTGTTGTTTTTATATAAATGCAATTTTGCCATTTTCTTCTTTTGTTTGCTTTGAACAGTCCTATTTGCTATAAAACTTTTCACATTCTTTTTGTATTTTTGGACGCTTTTTAATCATTTGCACTTTTACATACTGCTCTGTTTATGTCCCTATTTTTTGTTGTCTTGGCTCAAGAAAACACCCAGAAATAGCAGTTTTATTCCATGAATATATCATGTCTCTACTGGAAAATAAAATCATTTGTTTCATTACTTAAGCCTTGGTGCACTCTCAGCGTGTGTGGCTAAAAATGGTGTGTTTTTGTTTGTGTGTCTGACTAATTACAGACTAGCCCTGCTAAAATAAAATATACATTTTATTTCAGTGACAGGCGAATTACACATCCTGAGAACAAGCCTTCAATTAGGCCACCACAACAATTGCAAAGTCTTTTGAATCCAAATGAAACTTTTACTATTTTATGCAAACAGCATGATCTTTTCAGTCTATTCACGAGTGAGTTAATCTAAATTCTAGGATTAAATCCCTTTAGTTTTAGCCTAACCTGGGTGGCACGGCTCTCAAGGATTACTCTATCTTCACTCAAAGTTCGCAAGTTCCTCCTAAATTCCACACACGCCTGAGTTAAACAGACATGAACTAAAACTTGAACCATAGTCGGCCACCGATAACTGTTGACAGACTTTTAAAACATCTTTACTACACCAGTGAACAGACATTAATAAGACAAACTACATTCATTCATGTTGATAACAAGTGAAAACTATTCTGTAGAAGTCTTAGTCATTGCTCTTGATTTATTATTACACTAATAAAAATAACACTAAACTTCCATATTGTAAATATATTTTTCTAGTCATTGTTGAACGAGGAAAAAATAAAAATAGCTTTGATAAAATTATGAAATAATTCACTCCAATGAAAGTTCATAAAATAGCAGAATATGGAATATGGGACTGTTACATAGTATTCTATTTTTGAGTGCCTTGAGTATTCTATTTTTGAGTAAAATGCTCCCGAGAAATAAGCATAGATAATGTGAAAATACCATAGACTGAAAATCTAGATCTATGCTGAAAATACATAAAACAAATAATAAGGTATTTGCTGCCATCATGTGGTCGTTATAGTTTTTGCTCTTATTACATGGAAAGTGTGTGTGTAATATATACCATTCAGTTGTATTTATTGCTCTCAGTAATCCATCCATCCATTTTCTACCCTTTAATCCATTTCTGGGTCAGGGGGGGGACAATCAGAGATGCCACCCAAGTCTCATAGCACCAGCCCCTCACTGACCCTCTGCAGGTGGTGAGTCCACAGGAGGACGGCTGCTCTCTGAGTGTGAGCATAGCCTTGATCTTTCAGTGGGGGCTTCAGGCAAAGTGGGGTTAAGTGTCTTGCCCAAGGACACAACGATAGCAGTCATCAGTGGGAGTCGGTGGAGAAGGTGTAGAGGTGGGAATTACTTTGATGCTCTCAGTAATCCAAAAATTAAAATTATTATTAAACTAAATACTAAAAAAGAATAATTCCTTTTGTTGAGTATGCATTGTAAATACTTCACAAAGTTGTAAGGGAAATGTATCGTAAACATCGTGATCCACCGATTTGCTGTCATCTTGTGGTCGTTTAAATTACTGCTTTCAAAAAAATCCAAAAAATAAAATAACTATGATTTTATTTTTGTAAACCTGTTTTACATTATTAAACAAATACTGATCCCCTGACAAACGTTTTTAGAATTCTCATTATTTTTCTCACCAAAGAATAGTCAGAGACGGTTCTGTACGTCAACGTAACCCGGAAGCGCAATCATAACACAAACATGCAACTCTCCTAACGTAAAAACCTTCACAGCTGAACCGAGGTCAGTGCTTCAGCCTTCAACCTGTGCACGTTTGTTCTGAAGTTACTCATCTTTACTTCTCTTTAGTATCCCAGAATTTAGCGTGGACAAAATAAGGGATAGTTGGTTGTAGTGATTGTATTAGTAGTGCAGCAGCAGTAGCAGCAGCTGCAACAGCAGTACCAAGTAGTAGTAGTAGCTGTAATAGTATTTGTAGTAGGAATAGTGATAATAGTAGTAATAGTAGTGCTGTGTTAGAAGTGCCACTCTACCTTTTCATTCATTAAATCAATACATATTTTTATTATAGGTAGGACTGAGCTATATGGGTAAAACATTTTATTGTTATTGAAATGCAATATATACTTGCCTTGCACACAGGGTGGAGAATCACTTATGTATTAAACAGTGCATATTTGAACAAAATCTCGTGATTATAATGCATTTAGTGAAAAGGCACAGTCCTCAATCAACTGACCAATTATTCTTTTGTGTTTCCATAGATGCCTCCCATGTGCATCACAATGAGAAGATATAGTCTACCTCTACTGCGCCACGTCTCCTCTTTATTGACAGCCAAAAAGACATGCTGCTTTCACAAAAGACTATTGATGAGTCCCTCCTTGATGGTCCCCCGGCCCAGAAGTGTGGTTACAGCTGTTAGCACTGACCATATACAAGACCTGAGTGGGCCAGAACAGAGACTTCTCAAAAAGCTGTACGAAGGTCTGATCGGGGGACAAAGAGCGTCTCTGGCAGAGTCCATCACACTTGTGGAGACCCAGCATCCCAGAAAGAAGGAACTGGCCCAGGTGCTGCTGCAGAGGGTGCTGGCCTACAAGAGAGAGCAGGAGAGTCGCAATGGAGGGAGACCACAGGCGTTCAGAGTTGGTGTGTCCATTTAGTGTTTCCTCTCACAGATTGAAACAACTCAAGTCACACAGCAAAAACATAGGAGCAAAATGTCACCTTATGTCATAGTACAACAATGTAAATGTTTAGAATGTTATGGTTAAGGTGCATATTATTGTAAGGACACGTCATAATTCTTCTATACTCAGTTATAGTTTATGCATTTGGCATGTCATTGTGCACTACTCAGCGTTTACCTTTTGTCCAGTTTTGCTTCAACCCAAACATAACGGAACTCTTTTTATTCAGAATGATCTACCTAAAAAATATACAATATAAAATTATAATTATAATATATTGAAACTGAATTACCTCCATCCATCCATTTTCTTCCGCTTTATCCGTTGCCGGGTCGCGGCATAACATTTAATATGACAATAGAAAAATAATCTCCGTAGCAAAGGTTGAACTTTAAATGAACTTTCCACAAAGTAAACAATACAATACGATACAATAATATAGAATGTAGCCAAAACAAGATTGTGTCCCCCCAAACCAACTAAAAGTTTTTTAAATTTCACTCGACAAAACCTGCTTTGACAGCCTTGGTCAGGGCTGCTGCGGTTAGGAGCAGATACAACTGGAGTGCACAAGAAAACACTTCTTGCAATGACAATAAAAGATATACTATCAATTACAATTAGGCTTATACGCAGTGAAGTAAATTCAATGAGCAAAGTTTCATAATTAATCAACAAAATGAAAATATACCTATATAAACTGTTCACTGGTATAATTTCTTTCTGTAAAAAAGGTAAATTCTCAGCTAGGTGCGCCATAGAAATTGTGTATAACAATATGCTTTGTGTAGAGCAAGATTCAAACCACAGAGTTATTCAAGGACTTGATGTTTGTGTGCAGGTCTGTCTGGCCCTCCAGGTGCAGGGAAGTCTTCCTTCATTGAGGTGGTGGGGAAGATGCTCACGGGACGGGGACATAAGGTGTCCGTGCTGGCAGTGGATCCATCTTCATGCACCACAGGAGGTATGCTTGGAAACATGAATGGTTCACTCACACTTGGTCCAGTTGAAGTGGACTTTGGGCTGAATGCACTCGTGGAGATGCATTAACACTAGAACTCCCAGAGCATTCAATCTGACGGATTTTAGTATTGAAAGTGTAACTCTGCTCATGTACATTTTTGATCTTCATAACTTTGCAACTTTTATCGTTTATTTCTGCTATTATTTTCATGAGATTCTTTCTTTCTTTTGTTCTCAAAATGGAGTAGAGAAGAGCAAGCGCCAGTAACCATAGCAAAATACTGTTACAGTATTCGGCCCCCTTGAACCTTTCAACATTTCGCCACATTTCAGGCTACAAACATAACAATATAACATTTTAATTTTTTGTCATGAATCAACAACAAGTGGGACACAATCGTGAAGTGGAACGAAATTTATTGGATAATCTAAACTTTTTTAACAAATAAAAAACTGAAAAGTGGGGCGTGCAATATTATTCGGCCCCTTTACTTTCAGTGCTGCAAACTCACTCCAGAAGTTCAGTGAGGATCTTTGAATGATCCAATGTTGTCCTAAATGACTGATGATGATAAATAGAATGCACCTGTGTGTAATCAAGTCTCCGTATAAATGCACCTGCTCTTTGATAGTCTCAGGGTTCTGAGCGCATAGAGGTAGGTCCGAGATACTGTTGTGGAGAAGTTTAAATTTGGATACAAAAAGATTTCCCAAGCTTTAAACATCTCAAGGAGCACTGTGCAAGCAATTATATTGAAATGGAAGGAGTATCAGACCACTGCAAATCTACCAAGACCCGGCCGTCCCTCCAAACTTTCATCTCAAACAAGGAGAAGACTGATCAGAGATGCAGCCAAGAGGCCCATGATCACTCTGGATGAACTGCAGATAACTACAGCTGAGGTGGGAGAGTCTGTCCATAGGACAACAATCAGTCGTGCACTGCACAAATCTGGCCTTTATGGAAGAGGGGCAAGAAGAAAGCCATTTCTGAAAGATATCCATAAAAAGTCTTGTTTAAAGTTTGCCACAAGCCACCTGGGAGACACACCAAACATGTGGAAGAAGGTGCTCTGGTCAGATTAAACCAAAATCAAACTTTTTGGCTACAATGCAAAACGATATGTTTGGCGTAAAAGCAACACAGCTCATCACCCTGAACACACCATCCCCACTGTCAAACATGGTGGTGGCAGCATCATGCTTTGGGCCTGCTTTTCTTCAGCAGGGACAGGGAAGATGGCTGAAATTGATGGGAAGATGGATGGAGCCAAATACAGGACCATTCTGGAAGAAAACCTGTTGGAGTCTGCAAAAGACCTGAGACTGGGACGGAGATTTATCTTCCAACAGGACAATGATCCAAAACATAAAGCCAAGTCTACAATGGAATGGTTCACAAATAGACGTATCCAGGTGTTAGAATGGCCAAGTCAAAGTCCAGACCTGAATCCAATCGAGAATCTGTAGAAAGAGCTGAAGACTGCTGTTCACAAACGCTCTCCATCCAACCTCACTGAGCTCGAGCTGTTTTGCAAGGAAGAATGGGCAAGAATTCCAGTCTCTCGATGTGCAAAACTGATAGAGACATACCCCAAGCAACTTGCAGCTGTAATTGCAGCAAAAGGTGGCGCCACAAAGTATTAGCGCAAGGGGGCCGAATAATATTGCACGCCCCACTTTTCAGTTTTTTATTTGTTAAAAAAGATGCCATAGCACCAGCCCCTCACTGAACCTCCTGCAGGTGGTGAGTCCACAGGAGGATGGCCGCTCTATGGCATAGCCTTGATCTTTCAGCAGGGGCTTCAGGCAAAGTGGGGTTAAGTATCTTGCCTAAGGACACAACGACAGCAGTCATCAGTGGGAGTCGGAGGTCCAAAAAATAAGGTCCAAAAACTGAAATAGATGTCATTGTGGTACAAACTGATGAGAAATGAGAAAGGAAACAGGAACTTTTAGACAGAAAGGGCAGAGTTACATGTTTGTGGCAGACGTTCCTGATATTAGAGTGAATTAGGGGTGTGTTAAGAAAAATGTTATATACTGTATATAGCACCTGAGGAATGTTGCATTTAAACCTGAGCCAGTCTGGGTTGATTACACAGCCTTTAACACAAACCCCTGCTTTATTTAGGGTCCCTCCTCGGTGATAAAACACGTATGACCGAGCTCTCCAGGGACATGAGCGCTTACATTCGCCCTTCTCCCGCCTCTGGGACACTGGGAGGGGTCACCAGGACGACCAACGAGGCCATTGTCCTGTGTGAAGGAGCAGGTTATGACATCGTCCTGGTGGAGACTGTAGGTAAGAACATGGCACCATTATGCTTTACAAAGTCACAACGCTCACCTGCACAATTGCATGCACTTTATTAAAGTTATAAGAAAGTGTTACCACAGAGAATGTTCTTGTTCTTTTCTTTGTCAAATTCAATCCCTTTGCATTTTTGTCTGAAATGTATATTCAACCTAACAATTCAATTCTACCTGTTACCTTGGTTTGAGCTGTATCTTGAGTAGAAACAAATCCATGTTTGGATTTGTCAAACCCAACATGTAATTACATTTCTTTTTAATAATTTGCATATCAGTCTGCAATTACAAACCTTCTATACTTTTATCAAATGTTGGTTAAATCTCCACAAACTAGAAAATGTTGTTCAGAATAATTTACCAGAACATAATATCCAAACTCATATTATATAAAACAAGTTTTTTTGGTCAAAATATCTTTGTAATGTAAACAAAGAAATCATTATAGTTTCCGTCCCTGACCAACTTTTACTTAAAACATTTGGCCCCGCGACCAAACTGAGTTTACACACCTGATTTAGAACTACCTGAACCACAGTTTGGTATCATCCGTAGTGGATAATAGCATTTTACGTACACGATGTGAAAAGATTTATGTTCTCTCTGTTTGAAATGAAATCTCCACAATGGTTCTCCTGTTTTAGAGTAAGTTATTTTTACCAACATTACTTCTATTTCCTCAATGCCATAATACTTAGAGAGGTAAATGTTGTATTTTCTATGACTTTCAACAAAGTCAAAGATGATCTTAAAAAAAAAAAAAAAAAAAGTCTACTGTAGATGTATTTTCAGGCTAAATCTGCTTTCCCCATTGACAGCACAAAAATGTCTTGTAATGATTTGGTACACAAAGTTTGTTTCCACTATACATGTTATAGTCTGACCAATACAATGTAAACTAATTGATTCATATCTTATGGTACTCTTAAAGGCAACCATTTACTGTGGATAAAATACGTATTTTGATTAAGAACACATAAACCTAAATTAATAAACAATCTTATTGGTCTGAAAAGTTTGAGATCCACACTTAAATTCACTAACGTGGTGGTAAATGTAAATCTGAGATTGAGATTAAAAAAAAGCGTCATATGCTTTAATGTAAGCAAAATTGTGGCTGTGTTTTCCTTCAGGTGTGGGGCAATCTGAGTTTGCAGTGGCCGACATGGTGGACATGTTTGTGCTGCTGATTCCTCCAGCAGGGGGCGATGAACTCCAGGTCAGTCAGCAGCAGTCACTCTTTCCATGAACTCGGATGACTCTCCCGCTTTAAGTGATTATAGGCCTATACATTATATACAATATGATAGTTTTATGGCTGGGGTATACATAAATCTCTAGTACAAATGGTGCATTTTGCTTGTCCTCCCAGAAAGTCTTCTAATGGTATTTTGAACGAATCTTAGAAAACATTTAATCATTTGCATGGTTGTAACAAAGAGCTCTGTGACTCAGTTTTTGACTCGTCGGGTTGAGAGATGATTGGCCTCTCTTTTTCACGTCTGTAAAAGCGGATGCAAAAATTTGTGATAGAACCAATCTCTTTTGAAAGCGATGCACACTAAGTTAAATGGATGGATAGTTCATTTTATACAATGTTCGATTTTTTGTGGTTTCAAAGTTAGGTACCTCAGCTTTAATTTTATAGGTTACGTGACAGGATTTTCCATTAAATAAAGCGTTATAGGAGAATATATTCAGATGAGCAAAATAACAGCTACTTTTAGTTTGTTTTATTGTTGTGTTTGTGGGTGATATGTCAGTGAGACTTCAGACGTTTGTGGTTTTAAAAAGGATGCTCTTGTATTTTCATCCACTCATTTGTTAAAAGTAAGAGTTATGACAGTATTTTGAGTCGTATCCAGATTGGCCGAGTCCGTCCCCACATCACTGCGTATCCAGAACACTCAGCAGATTAGACGTCTAGACATCAGATTTATTCACAGTGGATATTTCGGATTTAACCCCCCCTTCCTTTTGTAACGCCAGGGTATCAAGAGGGGCATCATCGAACGTGCCGACCTGGTAGTGGTTACCAAGTCGGACGGGGACTTGGTGCCACCTGCCAGAAGGATCCAGGCTGAATACACCAGTGCGCTCAAGCTGCTGAGAAGACAGTCCCGCTCCTGGAACCCAAAGGTCTGTCCCTGAAAAACCATCTTCCTCTAACATGTACACAACCATTTCATATTTCAATTAAACTAGATGTACTTGTGTATAGCCCTAAATCACAATTGCAGTCAGGGGCCCCCAGAGCACCTTCTTCCACATGTTTGGTGTGTCTCCCAGGTGGCTTGTGGCAAACTTTAAACGAGACTTTTTATGGATATCTTTCTTCTGGCTTTCTTCTTGCCACTCTTCCATAAAGGCCAGATTTGTGCAGTGCACGACTGATTGTTGGCCTATGGACAGACTCTCCCACCTTAGCTGTAGTTATCTGCAGTTCATCCAGAGTGATCATGGGCCTCTTGGCTGCATCTCTGATCAGTCTTCTCCTTGTTTGAGATGAAAGTTTGGAGGGACGGCCGGGTCTTGGTAGATTTGCAGTGGTCTGATACTCCTTCCATTTCAATATAATTGCTTGCACAGTTCTCCTTGAGATGTTTAAAGCTTGGGAAATCTTTTTGTATCCAAATCCGGCTTTAAACTTCTCCACAACAGTATCTCGGACCTGCCTGGTGTGTTCCTTTGTCTTCATGGTTCTCTCTGCGCTTTAAACAGAACCCTGAGACTATCAAAGAGCAGGTGCATTTATACGGAGACTTGATTACACACAGGTGCATTCTATTTATCATCATCAGTCATTTAGGACAACATTGGATCATTCAAAAATCCTCACTGAACTTCTGGAGTGAGTTTGCTGCACTGAAAGTAAAGGGGCCGAATACTATTGCACGCCCCACTTTTCCGTTTTTTTGTTGGTAAAAAAAGTTTAAATTATCCAATAAATTTCGTTCCACTTCACGATTGTGTCCCACTTGTTGTTGATTCATGACAAAAAATTAAAATCTTATATCTTTATGTTTGAAGCCTGAAATGTGGCGAAATGTTGAAAGGTTCAAGGGAGCCGAATACTTTCGCAAGGCACTGTATATATAACATATATATACATACATACAGATTACTGTGGGAATTCTATTCAGTCGTCATCAATGTGTTCAAAAAATATTACGAACATTGTCCATGTCCGTAATATATGGACTATATGTCCATATATCATGGACATATTGTCCATGATTGTGCTGATTTTGCAACCTGCCTGAAAGCTACAAAATTATGCTCAGCTCGGTCTTTCACTGCTTACCCATCACAACCCTCTGAACGTCAACTTTAGGGAGACTGTCCATTGGTGGACCCTGGTCTTAGGATCGTGGACGTAAAAATTTGTTGATGTGACAAAAGAGGAAGATGTCACTTCTACAGCTCAGTAGCTGAGGGAGGTTATGGAGCAGACGTTCCTTGACCCTATTTGATGCCATGACAACTGCCTCTGGAATAGACAAGAGACGGATATACTCCCAGGACGGCCCACAGGCGTCAGCAGACAGTGCATGCATATACAGTAGAGCCCACCCTGTGCTCAGTGAAATGCAGACGCAGGAGCGATGAAGTCCATAGGTCTTAGGGTCAGGGCAGGCGCGGTCAGGAGGACAGATGGCCTGATCCATGTTCTTTCATCATTGCGGCAGGGAGCAGTGGGCGGGGCATCAGCAACTGCATGTAACATTCCTCTGGTGGGACCAGGGGAGATATGGTATTAAAATTCTTTGTGTGGACTGCTGTAAAGTGAGGATGGTCACAAAAAGGAATGTTTCTCATATAGTCATCTATATATCTTTTTATACATCTATAACACTCCCTGTATTATGTGCTTACGGGGAGCATTGGTCCCCGGTCAGGAGCAGCACTGGGGACCCATGTCCAGCTGTTGATGTTTGGTGCTGTTGGGCTACTTTTGCCGTAGGATTTGAGGTTTTAGGTAATTGTTACCTTTTTGTTGAGGTGCATGAGAGCTACTAATAAAGATAAGAGAATCTTTATTTGTCCCACAGTGAGAAAATATCAGACAGTGGGACAATTTTGAAGCCAACGGGCTGCCCAAGCAAAATTGGCCTGATCAGCAGTCTCCTCAGAGACTGGTGATAGGCGGATGGTTCAGATTGGCCATCCGCCACTGTCATTCTAATCCAGGGCAGCTGCACTGTGACTCTCAAAATGAGATAATTTCCAGGTAAAATTTCAAAAGGTTTTCCCAGTATTACCCAAATGATTGATTATGTTTTGACACAATCTGACCCTTTGTCTGTTTTTATTCTTTTTGGAATTTTATGTTCCTTGACCCAGCCCCAAAGGCGTCTGCGTGGGAAGCCTGTTATGGCTATAGTTGTAAAGGGTTGGGAGAGGGTTGACTTGCTGAGGCCTTACCCCTCTTAGGTTCTCCAACCAGCGCCCTCCAATGGTTCTAAACACTGGCTGTTTCCTCCACAGCTATTTACAAATAATGATCTTTTCAATTTATTATGTAAATTAATTTGCCTAATCTCATTAGCTACCCAGACCTGTGATCTTGAAACCGATGGTCTTTTAGATTTCAAACTTGTATCATCAATCATTTTTTCTATGCTTTGAACCAGTCCCTAAAAAATTAACTTCAAAATCCCAAACACATTCCCACCAGGCCCCTTTAAACGTGAACAAGATGTCCCACTGAAAGGCCAGCTGACCTGGGACAGAGAAGGAGGAGGATGGTGATGTCATGGCGCCATGCTTTGAGTACCGCAGTCCCTCCTTCCCTACCCCCTCCCCCCACACATGTCCTGGCTCACCCCCCGCTTGGCCTTGTCCCTTTGTTTCCTTGGCCCATTGCAGCATCTGCCTACTGGGCACGCTGCCAGGGCAACACCCCCTCGGGTCCGCCCCCTCCAGACTGCTCTCCCACCACCACGGCCACGGCGAGCCACCACTCTCCGCTGCTGTGTCATGCATTTTGCTGATTAGAAGCCTGCACACTCGCATTAGGCTGAATAGAGGCTACGGGAGTCTGTTCGTCTTAGCTCTCTGCGGCCTGTCACCTCTGCATATGGTCTTCTGTGCTCCTAGCTGCATACACACTGGTGTTGTCATAAACATAGTGCCATTGCGTGGCAGTCTACGTTGAGACCAGGGGTGCTCAAAGTGAGGTCGCCAGACAATTTTGTTGTGCCCCCCGAAAGGGTTTTCAGTTAATATTGTTAACATGCACTGTCAATGTTAGCCCTCTGTAGTTCAATGAAGCCCAAAGGGGAAGTCCTTAGGGAAGTTTTGCTAGAACTGGCTCTGGTTCCTATGACTTAAATTGAAAAGTAAACTCCCCTACCTTAGTAACCATTCGTGTTTAGAGCTCTCTTTGATCCTGGTGTTTTGAGTTTAATATTCACTCCAGGTCTGAGCCCTAAAGGTTGACCAATCAGAGGCCTTCATTTGCGAGAGAAACTCCAGCTTGCCTTAGAAATCATGTTAGCAACATGTGAGTATGCATCTGCCGCTGCTACGGTGCTTAAGTCACCTGGTCACAAATTCAAGAAAATTGTCTCCAGTGAGCCGATGTTCAAATTGGCATTCTGAAAACATTATCTGTGACGTCAACACTCAGTCTGTCCCCTCATCCAATCCGTTCATCCAAAGTGGTTGGATGAAGCACTCGAGCACAGGCCCAAAACACTCCCTGACCCTACACCTCTCTCCATCACTTGTTCTGTGTTGAGGGCATCGCTTTCTTTCCTCCACATACTTCTTTGGGTTCTTTTCCACTTCCAGAGAGAGTGACAACTTCTGAGTGAAGTTTGCATAATATTCCTGTGTAGGTATCCCCCGGGTAGTCAGGTTTCCCCTATCACTGAAAACATGTACAATGGCTCCCCTCTGTCTGAAAAAGACATTCTGAAATCTCTGGGCGGCTTTGTGGCTGTCTCAATAAACACTGTTTCAACTCTTTGTTTGTTCAATTAATACAAAATATATAAAATTTAGGACAGTTTTGCTAAAAATCATGACATTTCTGAATGTGAAAGAAGGTTGAGGCCATCTTTAGGATGTTTTTGGGTGTAAGTCACAAAGTACATTGTTATGCCATTCTAAACTCTTCCACAATGTTTGTTGCTTCTCCAAATTTGCTCTTCCTGTGCGTGGGTCAGACTCCCGCCCAGACCTTGTGCAATGATTAACTTAATGATGCCATTAGAGCCATGCTAATTGGCCGTTGATCATAGCTCTGGACTGTTTACCATGCTGTCAAACCCGACTCTGCTCATTGCCAGTTGATGTCAAATTATGTCGATATAAATGATATGTGTAATTTGATTACACACTTACAACAATTATGGAACACTGCACATTTTTTCAAATTCCCTTCCTACTACTACTTGGTTATCAAGTTGTGTAAGCAGCCAAGCAGCCACTCTGACACTGTTTGTAAGAAGCATACAAAGACTCTAAAGCACTCTGAACAATATATAAAACCACGTTGTATTTGTTATCTGTTTGAGTACAATACAAAAATATAGTTTATTTTAGAATGGTCCGTATGGTATACGACCACATCAATGTCATATATATGTGCATTGAAACAATAAAGCTGGGATACAATAAAACATTTCAAAAATGTCTTTGTTTGTTATAATTGATGACGCCCTTCACTTTTAAACCTTTTACAGATGCACTTGTGAGGAAATTAAAAATTAAGCTGGGTTTCTTCTTTCGAAATAAGACATGTTTTTCTTTTGGGGTTAAAAGGCGCCTTGTCTCTGCTACTTTTTTATCTGTCTTAGATTATGGGGACCTTTTTTATATAAATGCTACCTCTTTGTGTCTTCAAAAGCTGGACTCTATTTATCATGCTTCCCTGAGGTTCATCACAAACTGTAGAGCTCTGACACATCACTGTGAGCTGTACGCTCGGGTGGGATGGTCCTCCCTGTCCACTAGGAGGCAGTGTCATTGGTACACCTTTATTTACAAGGCTCTTCTGTGACTCCTGCCCTCTTACCTCTGTACATTACTCACACAGAGGAGCACAGAGTCTCATGCACTGAGGTCCAATGAGCTGTTGCTTACTGTGCCTTTTGTCCGCACAGAGTTTGGAAAAAGAGCCTTTGTCCATGCAGCTCCTTCTGCTTGGAACATGCTCCAGCGAGACTCCGAGTTTTTGAGACGGCCTCAGTCACCTTTAAATGTTTTACTTGATGTGTGTAGTACCTGTCATTTTTAATGTAATTTTATCTGTCTGTTGTGTTTATGTGTAACTTGGCCACTTGAAAAAGAGATTCTTAATCTCAATGGGATTTTTTTCCTGGTTAAATAAAGGTTAAATGAAAAAAAAAAAAAAAAAAAATGGAAGTACGTAATAAAATCCCTCTAACTAGTTCCTCGCTCTCAAAACAGTTTGATTCCATCACTAGTTTTACATGAAAACCACTGATTAATTAGGCTGAGGCCCTTCCTCATACAGCCTGAAACGCTACTTCGTGGTCTGTAAATAAAAGACACTTGGGAGCAACATAACTGTAGATTTTTCTCTGTTTTCCTTTTGTGCACTATTTTTGAATCCAGCACGCTAGTGCAGGCTACTGCGATGTGCGGTATTTGAAACCTCCCATCACTAGTTTTCTCATGCATGTACTTTTCCTCTCAAGATCAGATTTTTTCAAACCTTGTGGGCAGATGGGTTGCCAAGATTGTTTGCAGGCGTTTCCCCTGTGAAGACATCTCATGATATGGCTCATATCTGGATTTACAAAGGCAATATCAACATCCCAAGGATCACAGAGAGCACTAAACCACATGTTTTTTAAGCCCAAAATGGTGAATGTGATGGTTACTGAGCAAGATGAGTTTTCTCTTCAATGTAAGTCCATATGAGGCCGAGCAAGTTAAAGCAGAACTTTGTCCATAAGCACTTCCTTATTAGGCTTGATTGAGCAAGGGGTTAGCTTTTTCAATCTCTAGACAGTCTAAGATTTCCCTCACTGTACACCCGATCTACTATCAACAATCTTTTTCAGGTGGTGCGCGCCTCTTCTTACACCAACGAGGGCATCCCCGAGGTGTGGGCCAAGATGGAGTCATACAGGGACACCATGTTGTCCAGCGGGGAGCTCCAGGCCCGGCGACAGGCCCAGCAGAGGGTCTGGATGTGGAGCCTGATCCAAGAGAACGTGCTGTCCCACTTCCAGCTGCACCCTGCCGTGAGAGAGGCCCTGCCCCGCTTGGAGCAGAGGGTCACCAAGGGGGCCATCTCTCCAGGACTGGCCGCCGATCTGCTGCTCAAAGCCTTTGCTTCGTCGTGAGAGTGTTGGTGAAGGCTGAGGTGTTAGTGAGCATTGTGCAGACTCAAAATGTGCCTGAAAATGATGTGTGATTGCTGTTTGTACAGGTTGTACTGCTCTAATTAATTGACTTACTCTGACTCATTACAAGAAAAGTGGCATATGCTGAGCCTTTGTTACAAGTTTGATGATTATGGCTTACAGTCCATCTTCAAAACATTCACATTTTCTGAGATGTTTTATTTGTGGTTTTTACACGCTGTGAGCAATAATTATTAATATTATTGCAGATAAAGACTTGATATGCAGTATCTCACGTTGTGTTTAATGAATCATTTGAATAGAAAATTCAGGTGTCCAGAAGCAGCAGAAACACATCCACCCATACAAACAAAACAAATAAATAGATCATTTTAAAAGTAGCAAACAATAGCGTTAAAATGCAACAGCACTTTAGGTCACAGCAGCAGAGGTGCAGGAGCCGCTGGTGATGAGTTGCTTCCTGTCCTCTGGTTGATGTCTACAGAGTCTGCTTGGTTCGGACCATTAGTTTTTATACAATATTATACCGTATGAGTTTCACTTTGTAATTTGAATTACAGAAGTAAATGGACTTTTGAAGGGTATTTTTTAGAGTTTGATCTGTACGTCTTGGACGTGACAATACAGACGGGTAACATATTGTGCAAATTCTGTTTTTCGTTTTTTTAGTTCTTAACTCTTTTGCCATCCATGGGTCAAACTTTTGAATTTTGATGATTGTTCCTAACTTGACTAACCTTGGGTCATTTAGACCATTTTAGGGTATTTTTCTTCTACTTTTAATCACTGCGGTGGGTCATTTTGACCCGAGATCTAGAAAAAATTTACCCCGTTTATATTGTAACGATCAGTAACATACATTATTTAAAAAATGAGACATAATTTAAGTTGCTCACATCACCTTTAAGAGGCAAAATAAGGACAACTAGGGTTTAATATTTGTCTCTAATGAGCAAACTAAGAAGTGTGAATTTGACATGACCCCTAAATGAGTTTTTATGGTAACAGCTTTATACACCAGTACAATTCTCGACCACAGAAAAAGCTTTTTAATGTTTCAGTACATATTATTTTGTTTTTGTCGTACTGTAACTAATGACATGCCAATTTCGACAATATATATAATATATTAAGCTGTTTTGGGAGAATCTTATACTGTTTACGGTGGATTTCTTATACACTGAGGCACTTTGCCCTCTAAGTGGCCGGGCGTAGTATGATCATAGTTCCCCAAAGATAATGTAACCACAAAACAATTGTGATAAATCAGAAGTTGCAATTTTTTACCTCAAATAGATTGGGATAAAAAAAGGCACATTTCAATAATATATGTGTATTCTATCTGCTGTGTCTTCTAATAAATACATTGTACTTCATCTCCATTTACAGTTTTTATTCATTAATTTGGGCAGGAATTCTTACATTTATGAGTAGTTTACAATACAATACAGTGTAGTGTAGTCTTTACCAAAATAACCCGCAATAATCAAAATCTTTATCAGCTTTGTGTATCAAAGCTGTAAAACCAATCATCACACACTTTATACACTTTTCTAACCACCTGAACTCATGATTGCTGAAGTGCGTTCGCAGGGATAGCAAACCTGTTTGTTTTAGGTCTGAACGCTACTGCAGCTGTCAAAAGCCGTGCATACACTGTAGAATACAGCTGCAGAGGACCTCCCTGAGGGCAAAAGCAGGACTGAGGACTACAGGCAGTTCCGTCCTCTGAACTAATCACTGTGATCCACACAAGACACAAAAGTTGTCTTCTGACTTTAAATAAAGGTAACTTTCATGTTATACTCATGGAAAACGCTATTCAAATAACGATGTAATTTGAGTATACATGCAGCACGTGAGGTAAAAAAGATTTGGGGGAAGAAAGCTTGCAAAATTACACACACAAAAATCAGCAAGGCAGCAAAAGCTAGTGAGGGACCAGCTTTGTAATGGTCCCTCACTATACCTTACATTTTACTTTAAAGAAACACTCACCTGTACATACATGCACATACATACAATCAGTATTTAACTGTTTAATACTGTTTCAATAAATGTACTTACATTTCTGATGAAAATGGATTGACAGGTTTGGTCCTCCATTCTACTGTAGACACAACAAAGAAATGGACTCAAATACAATACAAAAAAACAGGTTATTGAATTATTTGGCACGATTTCAACACTTATTATTATTATATTTTGGTCGGAGTGGAGGAATCTGTTTCAAGACTGATCATTAGCAGGAAAAAGTTTCATGTTAAATCTCTCCAATTTGGTCGCACAGCATTCTGACTACGGATTTGTCTCCTCGGATTAACATGGTCATAATTTATCTTTTACAAGTTGCACACGTGTTAACATGACATCCCTGCCAGTATTGAAAGTTCTTTGTACAACCTCTTACAGTATTATTCATATTACATCCAAAACTAATCAATGGAAAAAGATTACCCGACCTAAAGCGGTTTTAGTATGTAACACTGTATTCCTTTGAGTTGAAGATTTTACTTTTTTATGACCAAAAATTATGAAGTGGTTCCAGTTTTCTTCTTTCTGCGAAATATGTGACGCAAATGTAGAGGATGAATTGTGTGAATTACAGAATTTCATATATTCATTAAATCACATAACAGCAGTCATCCTCTCCCTATAACCTATAACCAAAAAACAATATGAAATAACCATTAAGGCTGCATAATTCTGGAAATGTCGTTTTGCTATAGTATTTTGCGATAGTATTTTGCCATAGTATTTTGCTATAGTATTTTGCTATAATATTTTGCTATAGTATTTTGCTATAGTATTTTGCTATAATATTTTGTCATAGTATTTTTCTATAATATTTTGCTATAGTATTTTGCCATAGTATTTTGCTATAATATTTTGCTATAATATTTTGCTATAGTTTTTTGCTATAATATTTTGCTATAATATTTGGCTATAATATTTGGCTATAATTTTGCTATAGTATTTGGCTATAGTATTTTGCTATAGTATTTTGCTATAGTATTTGACTATAATATTTTGCTATAATATTTTGCTATAATATTTTGCTATGGTATTTTGCTATAGTATTTGGCTATAATATTTCGCTATAGTATTTTGCTTTAATATTTTGCTTTAATATTTTGCTATAGTATTTTGCTATAATATTTTGCTATAATATTTTCTATAGTATTTTGTTATAGTATTTGGCTATAATATTTTGCTATAATATTTTGCTATAATATTTTGCTATAGTATTTTGCTATAATATTTTGCTATAGTATCTTGCTATAGTATTTTGTTTTAATGGTAGTATTTAATGCATCCTGAAATTAGTATGATGAAATCGTTTATTGGCCCTCTGCTGGGATCTGTATAACTGCCACTCAATGTTCACCCAATGAATAATCAAATTTAACAATGCATCTCAAATGTAGTCAACTTTTATAGGAATGTAATAAAGTACCATATTATTTTTAATCCCTGTGTAGCCACTTCAGCGGATTTAACTCTCACACAGTTAAACAAGAGAAATATTCAAAAGCTACACACACATTTACAATGCAAAGACACTTAACAGTAGGAACTGTTTTAACCTGTGCTTTTACTGACTTAAAATAGTACAATCGATAAAACTTAAGCAACTAAAGAGAGGAGCACTGCTGTTGCTGCGGTAACCCATGTTTGAGACTCATTCGATGCTCATTCTGCTTTATAATTGGATAAACTTAAAGATGTATTCCTCAACTGTCCTGGCTTTTGCTTTGGGACTGTTTGTGTGCACAGTTTGTCATTAAACATTTACATTTGAAACCAGCAAGTTATATCTGTAGAGAGGCGAGTCTGCTTACTGTAAAAGAAAAGCAGTAACATAGAAGCAGGTGTGGGACCACTTCACAAAAAGCGTGTCGACACTGGGACAAAATGTTGTGAACAAATCAGATTTTTGTTGTTGCATATAGCCATGTGAGTCACTATCGGATGCCTTTGGCTGAGAGCTGATTGGCTAAGTGAAGGTGGTGGTCACCTTTCTTTCTGAAATAGCTGATTTTAAATGTGAGAGGCCAAAAAATACATGCATGTGACAACTAGAGATAGAACCAAACAGCTTTAAGAGCAAGGAACAAGTGAACTAGATTCTAATCACTTTTCTGTCGTTTGAAAGTCAGCAGCAAGAAGGCCCTGGGATCAATTCCACCTCCAGACCTTTCAGAGTTTGCATGTTCTCTCTGTGTCTGCTCCAGTTTCCTCCAGGTGCTCCGGTTTCCCCTACCACTAAAAACATGTACAATAGGAATGACTGTAGTAGCGTGAGTGAACAATAGTGTTACATGGAGGCTTTTATGCTGCAGTGTGTTTGGCGTCTTGAATATCTGTTCTCCAAAACATTGTAAAGCGCTTTGAGTGACCTTGGTCTGTGAAATGCACTAAATAAATTAAGATTACTTACTTACCTGCTCTAAAATCCCTCTTTCTATCGCTAGAGGTCTCCCTGAGGCTGCTGTGTTCTTCTACCATGATCTTGCTGACCTCCCCCCTCTCTCCCTCTCTCCCCCTCCCTCTCTTTCTGCCTGTCCCAGTACCCTCCCACCCCATGCATCCATTCTTCACTGAGGTTGCCCAGGGTGCCAGGTCGCACAGAGGTGAGGGCGTCAGCAGCTGCCACTCCGTCAGAGCACACGCTGTTCCGAAAGCCGAGCGCTGTATACTGTACAAGGAAGCAAGGTAGAGGACATGACCTAGGATAATGCAGATATAGGTTAGACTCCAGACGGAACCAGAAATATCTTGGTAATAATGAATAGGAGGATTTTTGTTGTTGTGTAATGGTGTTGACTGTTTTTTGTTTTGTTTAGGGCTGATACTGATATCAATAATTAATGACAAAGTAGGCAAATACTAAGATTAAGAGATCCTTTATTTGTCCCAGAGCAGGGAAAATTCAGCATTGCATCACTGATATTAGTTCAAATTATTGCACCGATGCG